TCTGTGACTGGGCTGCTGGTGGCATATCTGGACGAATTGCAGGTGGTGGTCGACTCGAGAGTTTTCTGAAGTGGTCTACCCATTTTTCCCTTTGTTTCTCCTCTTCCGCGGTAACTAGGTTTCCTTCACTATCTTTCATTGGTTTCATCTGTGTTGACCTCTTCCATCTCAGGTAGTAACCTGGTTATTTGATATAGTGTTGTCAGGTCTCTTCTACCAGCAGTCTGTTCTGCTTGACTTGCCAGTGTGTCGTGGAAGTGTCTTTTGTCTCTCCGCGCACTCTTCTTCACTCCTTTGTCCAATGTTTTATAGTTTGAAATTCAGTTCTTCTTCCCGTTGTTAGTCTCTACGCTGCACTGTTTCATCTTCTGCTTCACCATCACCATCTCCCTCTCCCTCCTCTATCAGCTTCCATGTATCCGTCGAAATCCATTCCTTGTCTTGCTTCTTCTTCCTTCCTAACACGGTTATGCAGGTTTCCTTCTACATTTCTTTCAAAGAGTTCCAGTGTTCTTCCACACAGGTTTCTTCACGGATGTTGGTCTATGTCTCCCATTTGTTCTGATGGCTGACGTGGAGATGTCCTTTATATTTTTGTCCTTCAGTTTCTGTTCTGGGTGTTGAACTTGAACTGTAGCCGTCTATCACCAACTTTTTTGAAGGCTTTCAACTTGATTCTGAAGGTTCCTTGCACCAGACAGAGTGGTTTAAACCTACATCTGCTCCCCTTCTTGATCTTCTGTCCAGTAGACTGCCTGCGTCTCCACTTTCTTCACATTGAGATGAAGTCGGTCTAATTTTTAGTGTATTGTGTCCATCTGGTGAAATCCATGTCGCTGCCTTGTGAATATCCTTGTGTTTGTACGCAGTGCTTTCAATCACTAAATCGCTCAATGCGCAGAAATCTGCAAACAGTTCTCCATTCTCATTCATTTCATTGAATGCTTCTCGACCCATGATGAGTTCTCTTCTGTCTTGTCTGCTCCCAGTTCGGCATTCATGTTGCAGCGTCACATACTTCCCCAAAATCAATAGCCTAGGGTTTGACGACTTTCGACATTGATGCTAACCTTGATAGTTTACCTGGACTCGCTAAGCTGAAGGCACCCGGTCAAGCATCCTCGCCATTTGGCACGCCGTCGTGTTACGTTGCACTGCTCGTATTCGACTCTCTAGCCAGTTAGTTGGAACGCATCGGTGTTTTGGCACAACCATCCAAATATACTATTCCATCCGACTACGCTATCGTGTTCTTCCTTGGTCTCGTATTCGTGGGTATATAACAAGTCCGAATAATTAGTGATTGGTCTTTGCGTCTGTCAAGTTCTCAACAGGACAAATCCCAAAATGTCGCCCATTAAAATTTTGATGGCGCCATCTGTGGTGGGGTCTTGTCCAGTACTGACTGCAGTTGTCTGTAGAATTCCTCCTTCTGCTCTTGATCCGCATTATTTGTAGGTGCGTAGCATTGTATGATTATGAATTTCCTTCCCTTTGAGTTGAACCTTGCTGTCATGATACTGATCCTGGGGGAGATTAGTTCCCACTGCATGAAAGCCTTCGATGATCTTGGAGACATCATGACAGTCACTCCAAAACTTAGTGTTTTCATGGTTGTCTTCCGGGCAACAATATCGGAGTAGATTATTGCCTCTCAATTTGATGGTTTGGAGAGTAATATTCATTATAATCAAGTATTATGAGAATCTTAGTGAGAGGTTGCATCTAACATGTTCAGACTAAGAAATGTTAAGGCGGCTACTTCAGTAAATACTATACTACCTTCGATTATTGATGACTTCCATCTATATAGAAGATACATGAATGATACTTTCATCATCTACGATGAGAAAATTAACGTTGATTCCACTCTTTTTAATTTCATTGAGAGTTATTCTTGAATCAGTTTCATGATGGACGTTGGTAACAGCTCAGAATTCCATTTTCTTGATATCTCGTTGAAGACATGACTTGATGGTTCCTTGGAAAAAGGCCAGTCTACGGGAAGATAATGTGGAATGGACAATATGCCAGTTTTCATGTGCTCTGCACGATTATCAGAAGACTATGCAACAGACGAGACATTAGACGATAAGCAGGAACACCTTCGGTGAGTTCCTCTTCAGAATCTTTATCCTTTAAGGTTAATCGAAGAAAACATGATGCCAAGAACAATCATAAGAACAAGTTTTTACTGTTCCTAAGAAAACTTTATTCATTAATACTGAATTTAGAAAGGATAACTTAGTAGAAGTACAGAATAACCTTCTATCCAAAACATTCAGAAAAATATTTATGTCGTCGAATCGTGAATGGTCTTCCCCTGGCCAACAGTTGATCCAATGAAGTTCAAAGGACAAACTGCAACTTTCAGCCACATCTATCACTTTACTTGTTCATGTACAACCCGTTATGTGGGCCACACAAAGGCTCAGTCTTTCCAAATGCATCTCTAAGCAATATCCTATATAGCTGTCGAAGTGAGAACGCAAGTCAAGCAATATTTTCATCTTAAAATATTTGATCAACTTTGATCATTTAAATTCCCCACAATCTTCTTTGAAAATTTTATACGAAGTCAAGCTAGACAGCTCAAAAGGAGTGCCGATCGACCACTTATGGGCCCCATAGGAGTCGGCAATCTAATAATTAAAGCCTAAATTCTGCCTACAGAAGAGCTATGTTCATTCTCTTTAAGTTTCTTTATTGCTTCAATACTCACCATCGTCTTAGTAACTGGCTGTCATTACTTTCTTATTTGGCAGTTTACTTCCCCACACCTCCCCTTAAATTTCTCATGATTAACCATTATTATTTCCGACCTATTCATTTTTTAACCTATTAATCATCACCCTAGTCAACTAAAGACTTTGCTGATATACACATTAATGATTACGTAATCATTTTCTCACTCTTGAATCGACTCATTACTTCACCCTAGAAAATTCTGTTTTCATGACCATTACCACCGATATTATCAGATGCTTCAATAATTCTATCATGACAAATAATTCAAACAAACAGTTGTGTCATCTTTCATAAAGATTTACGATTGTTGTTATCAAGCCTTGTAAATGATTTGTGAATAACTGTTGTTAAAAAGGATACAACAATGATAAACTGGATTGTGAAATATGCCGATCAAATGAAATCTAGTATACACATATGATCGCATAGCTAACGAATTCTGGATGTACTAAGTAAGAGTGGTAATATCAGTCATCGGAAATACTCTGCTATAGGAAAATCCAATATTGGAAGATATCCAGTACGAACCTGCTACGCTTTATGTGAATATTTATTTCAGAAACATTATTAAATGGACCGATTAAAAGACCCTAGAAGATTTTGATTTCGCCGATGATGATTTATGTTTAATGTCGTACAAACTCGACGATCTACAGGCGAAAACTAACAAGTTGACAGAAGAGACGAGGCAGAGAAAACGAAACTTCAAGTGAATGTAGAGAAGACGGTGGTGATGAAGATACCCGACCAACAACAACAACAAACACCAATGACCATTAACGGGAAAACCTAAAGGAAGTTATTTTCTCCACCTACCTGCCTAGGCAGCATCGTTTCAACTACAGGCGGCACAGACGAGGATGTCAAAACCAGGATTGCAAAAGACAGGCTTTCACTCATCTGAAATAATCAGTGTGGAGATCTACTGCACTCAGCACAAAGAACAAGATCCGAATTTTCAACACCAACGTCAAGTCAGTTCTGCTATATGATTCCGAAACTTGGTGCCTCACGAAAAGCATCTTCAACAAACTACAGACATTCATCAACAGCTACCTACGCTTGATGCTGAAGGTCAGGTGGCCAGAAAGAATAAGCAACAAGGAAATGTGACCTGGCAAGGAACTAACCAAGAACTTATCGCCCAACAAATATGCAGAAGGAAGAAAGTGGAGATGGATTGGATTTGGCATACACTGAGAAGGCCGACTGGGGACATCACGCGCCAGGCAAGTCGTTCGAGTTTAGTCCAAAGGGGAAACGACAAGTTGGACGTCCGAGACGACGGTGACATGGAGACCATGTGAGGAAGAAATGAAAGCTTCTGGGCAGTCATGGAGCGAGGTTCGAAAGATAGCAGAGAACAGAGTGGAATGGAGGCGTGCTACTGAAGCTGTTGTTCCACCAGGAACCCAAGGGAAAAATAATAATAATAATAGGTGGAGAACCTACTCTCTAAATGTAATACTTAAAAAGACAGACTTCGCATAGTATAGTGGAGGTGAAAGGTAACAATGAATGTTTTGAATAAGCAGTTCTACTACTCCAGCCAAATATATCACTGAAATTGATATGCACACATTTGTCGAGAATAATCGTCTTATCAGATTTCTTCTATGCGATGTATTCAAAGTGAGTTATACTCTGAACTCCGGTTTCGATTTGTATAAGTTCTAATGTTTCATGCTAGATGTCATCATCAATGCTTCTTTGAGAAACTTTGATGTATCGAAGGAAAATTCTATCATTACATTGAGACTGTTATCAACTAAAACTTCAGCTGGAAAGACAACAAAATACACTCTGAAGTATAAATATTCATCTTAATTGGATATACTGAAAAATATTTTCTTTGGTAGCTAACACCTAATAGCAAGAGAATGTGGATTGTGTAAAAATGTTGTAGAATTGTGAACAAGACTTGTATTCAATCCTTAACTCTAATTGAATTAGAATAAGATGGATATATTGAAAAGTACTATCCAGTTCATGAAGTGTTCAATTATCAATATGGGTAATGAGAAGAAATGTAGACATTAGGTGACAGTTCATAATATTTTGAGGGAGTTGTGGAGATTTGGAATTATTTCAAGTTGTTATTCATCATAGACTGACATCAGTTGGAGGAACAAAGGAAACCTGGGAGCACTGGACAGCTATTTCGTCCAACTAGTATAGGACTCCTCAGCAGTGCACACCCATGACCCCACCAGTTCATAATATGACTCAGAATTGATATCACTGATATAAATGAAACTTTATTCCCCCCTCTTATTGTAATCACTCATTACACTTCTTTATCATTCATCATAATGGCATAGAATATTAGGATAATATATATATATATATATATATATATATATATATATATATATATATATATATTATAGATAATTGAAACTATTTCATATTCTTTCCTATTTACTTATGTTAATATGAATAAAAATTCAATAATCACAGACAATATGAAAATGAAAGATAGGAGAGAACAATTCATTGACATGATAAATATGAAAAACAATTTGTTTACAAACAAAAGTAAATCAGTGTGAAGATGATAAATACTCAACAATACACAATAACTTTCTTAACAGTACTACTTATCATTAACAAAATGTATACTGTAGTCATATAGATTGTTTAAAAGGTAATAAACATTAAATATATTGGAAAGAAAAGTATTTACAAAATCATAACATTAAACTATATTACTCGATAATTCTTATTTAATCAACTAGGATAAGATTAACATGTCTTTTTATAAGAACATATATATCTTATGTATAATTATAATTATAAGGTATAGCAAACAACTTTCAATAGGTAAAAAGCTTTAGAATTTCAATAAAACAATAAATAAAGGTATGTAAACTAAAGTTATACATTAATAAACAATCACCTTCCTTTCTCTTTTTTTTAAAGTTTCGATGAATTCGATTGATGAAATCTGTTAACAGTAAAACTATTCAATTCATATGTTAATTTATAATTAGATTTTTTATTATCTAAAGTATAAGTAGTATCAATTAATTTTTTTCTATCATTTATACTATAATAATCATTAATTTCTTTATGTGTTAATAAAAAATCATTACGTAAAAGAATATAAAATAAAATTGGATTTAATATATTCATAATGAACATACTAGACATTAATAAAAATGAATAAAATGATGATATTTTATCAGGATTCATATATATACCATATGATATACAAAATAATGCAAAACCTCGACAACATATAAATGTGATAAGATTTATTAAAGAATTTAAACGACGAATAATATTCATTGGATGAATTTTATACATTTGCATAAGTTTACGAGTATGCAAAAAGATACTGTTCACTTCAGCAAGTAATGCAATAACATTATATGCTATATACCGAACATTTATAACATTATAAGTAAAGGCACCAAGAACCTATAAAAAAAAAAAGAAGTAAAATAACAAATAAAAAGAATAGATTGATATCAATTGAAGAAACATTTTAAAAAAAAATTGAAAGAACTAGACAGCTATTTCATCCTTGTATGAGACTGCTCAGTAGTATACAACTATGACTCAGTTAAGGATCAGTCTATGATGAGTTTCAACTTAAAGTCAATTCATAGAAAACCTCTACAAACCTTTAAATAGAAATAATCTAGCCCTCATTGGTGACTAGCATTCAGAGGTGATTCCCGAAGTTTCAACAAAAAATCGTGACCAGTAGAGTCAATCAAGTCGAATGTGAGGACTTTGAATGTAGGTCACACTATGTAGTGAAATGACAAAAGTTAAAAATATGCACCGTTCGATTTCAATCGAATGGCTCAATTGTAACGTGTTAGCCATGGGACCTGAAGTATGTCGGTTTAATCCTTGGCGATGCGGAGTCATGGGTGTGCACTCCTGGGAGTCGCATACCAGGACGAAACAGCTATCCAGTGCTCCCAGATTTCCAATGCTTATATCTGATTTAACGAATGTTTAACCGACTAAGTGTACTGATAACATTCTGAAGTCTTAAAGTATTTTCTCCTAGAAATGAAAATAATCCCAGGTATTTTTTTTTAATAAACACCATACAGTATATGAGAAAAGGAATGTTTCACAGTGTCCTAGAACCAGAAATTCGTACAAATAAGCGTAAATGTATACAGATATCTATTTGATGTGCAGTAACGTAAATAAAACAAACCAGCTTTGAAACAATGTAGAGAAGGAATCTAGGCATTGACTGAAGATGTTAATATGTCTACCTTAAGTAGCGTACAAAGCTCGAACTATTTTACCAAAACCAGTACCATAAAAATAAGAATAGTCAATGTTAGACTATTTCGAATCATAGTCACTGATTAATGTACTATGTTATAGGCCTATTTATATGGTTGGAAAAGCATTTCAAAGGTATAATACGACCTTACTACTATTTTAATGCGAGCTGGTTAACTTATTACCCGTTAAAATCCTGGTTCAAAACTAAGGAAAAAGGTGAGTGGATTTTTTCTTCACGATAATGGTCAAATCAACTAAAGCGCCGACCAATCTAATTTCAGCGAAATAAATTACCCATTAAACTTCATAAAATGCGCACAAAGGTGTATTCTTAGGAGTATTTTCAACTAAAGTATTTAGCTTGTTCATGTAAGTGTCTTAAGCTTCAACAAAACTTCCACAAGTACATAACTAGTGACAGTTAAGCTTCTGATCGATATGATTTGTCACTTATTGTTGTAACACAAATCTTAAAGCTCTTTTTTCCGAGAATACCAAATGATTCTAAAAGCCACCTCAATGACATATATACATCAAACACATTTCTTTATTTTACATACTTGATTTAGCTAAAGATACAAAAACCTAATTTTCTATTCAAGAAGTTTCTCAAAACAACGTTAAAATTCCCCATTGCCAATGGCCTTAGTGTCACGTTAGTGCACCGTTTGTTTAGTTCATTCACGATTTGCTTTTAGAGGTCAAGGCGTGCTTGTCAATTTGGGCTCTCCTACCGTAGCTTTATTGATTTTCTGACAAAAATAATACAACATTAAAGACGGAAGTGGATTCGTACTAGTTTGGTAACGTCAAATACTAACTGTTGCTTAATAGGCGAAATTAACTGCTACAGAGTGCCGACTAGTGCATCGTACCAACCGAAATACAAGTGAATATATCAATTTCCCGAACTTTTAAGGGCACGATACACATAGCCCCTTAAGCAGAAACTAAATGCATTAAGACTTAGGAGAGTCCCTAGAGTTACTTATTCTGTGTATACTTCTAATCTAATATCTATTCTTTTTACGAGCTAGAGCAAATCAATTGATTTCTTCGCGCCCGCATCTGGGTCTTGCGGAACAATAGTAGTCCTTAAAAAGTAAACAACACATCATCCGAAACTTTTGTAATTGATAGCGTAGTCTCAAGCGAATGTATGTAACTGGACTAACATTTCCACAAAATCTGTAATGTAAATGTATACTAACTGACTAGAGTACACGAAACATTCGAATAACAAACATTCGTAACCAATTTTGACTGACCTAACCCAGATACTTCGTGAGGATATGCTATCCAACCAACAGTCACTTGATGCATCGATTTCTGTGCTCAAGTCCAAGTCTAATACAAGAGGAGCCCGAAAAATTCTGATAACATATACATTATGTAAATATTCACTGGAACTAATAAACTGCGTCCTACAATAATTCAATCAAGTGATCACTTTAAATAACATTCGGCACATTTTAAGATAGTGACTCAACTATTTTATTACGTTCAAGCAAGTTTTTAAGTAATTTCATCTTACCGCTATGTGATGCAAAGTCAACTCCCACATAGAGAATATTTGCTTCTGCACTAACATATCCCAAAAATCGTAGAAGAAGTAGCCTGTTAGGTTAATGGTATATATATTCCGAAACTACCTGTAGAAACTGCTACCATGTAATAGGTAAACGGAACAATATGACCTATAGGGTCATCCATCAGTTCAGGGTAATAGTAAAAGCTAGAAGGTGAGAGATAATATGCTTCACATACCATAATATATCCCATGTTCCTATTATAAGAGCATGTAGCCAAGAGATCAACATATTGCGCCATTTCCAAACAGCAAGTGGACCCTTAGACTCGACAGCTGTTGGCGGTCTTATACCTTTTAACAAGTAATCAAGAGTACTAAAGAAAGATATCGACAGCAAGACACAATACAGTCCACACCATGCGCTTGGAAATGGCAATACTGCGTGCCAGTACATTGGCACTCTAAGGCTATCGTGGCCACTGATCACGCCAATTCGACCTTGACAACGTTTAGATAACGCGCTTAAAACAATGCTCCAATATACAATTTTAGAAATCCTCTGTTCAGGAACTCAAGAACTTACAGTGTCTTGCACTCTTGTTATGTTAAATTCTAACTGCAGCTTTTGGAAAGGTTTCTTCCTCTTCCAATATCCAATATTGATAGTGCGAGCGTAGAAAACTAGTAGTTTTTGATCTCTCGCGTCTAGTTCTTAGGGCTTGGTTCCAGTTGTTCGGTTTACTCCTGCAGTGGACGAGGAAATCCCCTCTGCTTTCTTGCTTTTAGCTTCGGTGAGGTGGATGTTTTGTGGGTTAGTAGGTTGTAATTTGTAGAGTGATTAGGGAGCTACGGGTTGCTGGGAAGTTTAGAGAACTGCCATGACTCCTGTCTGTGTAGGTACCTGAAAGAGAATAGTAAGGTAGTGGTAAAGGAATGAAGAGAGAATAAAGAAGAGAGTGAAGTAGCACCATAGAGACTCTGGGAGCTGGGTTAAGGCCGTATCGCTAACCATCCTTGCCTTTAAACAGGAGTTTGCGTAGATAGCCACTCCCCCTCCTGCTCTATGTTCCCTGTCCCTGCGGAAGAGTTCCATGCCAGCAACACGCATCTCTTCGTCGGAGATGTCCGATGAGAGCCAGGATTCGGTGATGAATATGATGTCGTAGTGCTGATGTTCACGCAGCGTCCTCATTTTTGCTACCTTCTCTATTAGCCCCCTAACGTTGCTGTACATACATATTAGAGTGTGCCTGATGAGAGGGGAGGTCTGGATGTGTATTTTCGAGGGATGAGCGCTTACGTGGTTGAATTTAGCCTCGCCAGTCCTCATAGGACTGGCATTGTTCCGTTTTTTGTGTTTTGTTCTTAACTTGGGTGGGGGCTGTAGCAGTGGTGGCTTCTTTACTTGATGTATCTAACTCACTGGTCAGCGCCTGTGTGACGACCACTGACTCCAGAGGTCTTGGTGGTTGCCGTCTCTCCTCTTGCCTTGTGGGTCTAGGCTTACTTTCACATATACGTATTGAGCCACCCATGCGATCTTTCGCATTATACCATGCGTGCAGAACGTCTGTGAGGGAGGCATATGAGTCGAACTGGACGGCAAGTAGTCTGGGATTGGGTATGGTCTTCAGGTGCGCTGGCCTTGGCAGTCTACTGACGCTGTTGGCCGGTATACTGTTGAGACCAACTTTGGTTGAGAGCCATTGCCATTGTTGGACGTCGTGAAAGTACCGATCTTTGACCGAGCTGTCACTTGGCAATTCTGGAATCCCATGTACAACTATAGTGTTGTTTCTGTTGGGATTTCCAACCGCTGACTTTCTCTCCTCCTCTCTTATTGACCATGGCTTGTCAGGCCTGGCCCGAATTTTACAGGCATTAACAACGTCCGGTTGTCGCGAGAGGAGGAGTGTGTCTTCAGCCTCTTTGGCGGTATTTAGGGACACACGTAAAGGGGGTGGCTTATCTCGGGGTGCATGGCTTCCTCGAGAAAGGCGACATAAAGTTGCAGGGAGGGGAGGGAGTCCCAGCATCTGACAGTAGTCGGTCCACATTCGGCTGTCAAATTGTTCCCTCTCGACCAACAATGAGTCTGTCGATACATCGACGTTGAACAAAATGATCGAGTTGGTCCTCCTGTGACCTGGGTTCGTTGTGGGTGGCACGCCCGACTTCCCAATGGGTTTGAGTAATTCCACTGGTTGTTTCTCAGTCACGGTGTGTGGGGTGTTCGGAATGGGTTTCGTAGAGGCTTCGGCGGTCGATGTCTTTGGCCATGCGCTTGACGTCCCCTGGGGCCGGGTAGGGGTATGGAGACTTGACCTAATATGGTCCCCACGCGAGGTGGCGTGCCCACAGCTGGAGCTCTAGGTCTGTTTCCAGGTCTCTCTGTGTTATCCTTTGGTGTTAACCCTACCTTATTCGAGGATGCTGGTAGCTTTTGCGTGGCGGAGAGCATCTCCTTCAGGCTTTCTGTGCGGAGTGCGGGCATTTTCCTGCACTCTGGACAGATGTACCAGAACCACTTGCATGGTTGTCTCTTCATCAGCTTATAGTATTGTCGGGGGACTTTGGTATCGCAGTGGCAATGCGCCCATCGTTGACACAGGTTGCATGCAAATGCCTCATCGACTACCGAAACAACTTTGGTGCAAACACTGCAGCCATCGGGTGTCGTAATACAGCCTTCCTTCCATGAATAAGGTGCTACGGATTGTGGCGAACTGCTTGTGGCTGCCTTGTTCTGAAGCCTTTTACGTCGTCTTCTATTTCAGGCATGGTATGATCCTTGCTCAAGATAGGACTAGTTTGTGACGGGCTAGTGCTTCTCTGTGTCACCTGTCTGATGGCTACTGGAATTCTAGAAACATGGGTTGGCCACTTCTTCAGAAGTTCGGTGTTCTGCCCTACCTCTGTTTGTCTTCTAGTACAGACTAGTGTGTTGTTTAGGGTGTTACTGGCCGTTGTTGTGCACGACCGCGTTATCCGTGTCAAAGCTTCAGACCTAGCGTTTTGGGCAGACATGTCGCTATGATATAAACTTCTTGGGAAAACAAGTAGTTAACAACAATAAGAGGGTTGAAGACTGAATGCAGCAAAAGGACAGAATAGAAAAGGGAAGATAATTTATGTTGGCTCACCTTCAGACACTTGTCACTTGATCCTCTGCTCTTGACCAACGAGTTTAACCGTAAGCTCCAGATGCGTATGTATAACCAGGAAAGATATTTCCTGGGGAATGACCTCCGAGGAGAACCGAGAGCTAAGGCAGTTTGGCAGCTGAAACGCCCAAGAACCACTGACAGGAGGTAGACCGGTTGGTTCAAAGGAATAATAATGCCAATTTTCAACTGTTGAGGAGTGAGCTGACGAATGCGCAGGGGTGAGGTGCGTGGATGGACAGAAGTGCTGCAAACGTTCGATGTTTTTAGATTGAGTATTGCAAGTGGGAGTTTTTCATTGTGGAAAAATCCAAAAGCTGAGAGACGAGCGAAACACGTCACTACTCAAGATGCTACACTGAACCACGTGGGTTCAGTGTTATTAATGAAATAATACTTGTTTATTTTGTCTACCTACTACCCCTGAATTGCATACCTTATACCAGCTCGTAACACCTGCATCCGCCTTTCACAGACTTTTAAATCTGATCAGCATGCTAGTCCAACAACAACACGGGAGCGAGTAAAGAAGCCCGCACTTTTTGAGCTCTCGTTTCTGAGTCTTGAGTCTCGGTTCTTTTTGTTCGGTTATGCTCATTTGGTTGTTGCATAAGTCTGTCCTGTTTACTTCCTTGCTGCTTTGGAGGTAGCAGTTGTCAGTTTGAAAGTTTGCTGTCGCTAATTATAGGTTAGTTTGATTTTGAGAACAGCGGGGCTGCTGACAAGATAAACCAGACATTGCACTGCACGTAACCGAGCCTCTAGCCAGCTAGTTGGAACGCACCGTTATTTTGGCACTACCTCGCAGATATACTACTTCATCAGACTGCGCTATTGTGGGTTATTGCAAGTACGGATGATTGTTAGTCAGCCTCTACATCTGTCAATTTCGCACAAGGACAATCCCCAAACCATGGTCGGAGAATACAGGGACGGATGAGAACAGATTGAGTGGCTACCGGTTAATGTTCGTGGCTGGCCGTTTTGCGCCCAAGTGGTTATCAAGAAGTTGCTTGAAAGGGTCAGCCGATGTTGCTGTGTCTACTTTTTTCGGAAGATTACTCCATTAGGTACACACCCTTTGTGAGAAGTTAGATGCCAACCTTACCTCTGCCCTCAGATGAGGTGCGTTAGTGGGGCTTCTATGGAACTATAGCTTGTAGACCGAAAATGTTTTCCTGTTAAGGTGAACCGCTTGAGGATGACCACATAGGCTGATATCAGGTCGCACCTTTATCTCAGGTAGCTTGAGGTAAACAAGCTGAGCTGCAAAAGGTGTTTCGCTTGTGTTTTGCCCGTTGGTCCGACAGCTGTTTCGGCCCCATCTGCACCTTCTCAAGGGTGCTCGCGTCTATCTTTGGCAGAGAGGGGCTGTCGTTTTGAACACCTCTTAATCGTATCTAAAATGGGTTTTATGACGATTGGTCTGGGTGTCAGAGCCGCGAGAAGGCTTTTTAAGGAAGTCCATGATGGTATTCGTTCATGCCACCATTCGCTCATAATTGATACGAGTATCTGGCGTGTCAGAGAGGTTTAGTCCTTGGCTCTTCTCTGTTAACACTCAGACGGCTGCGCGCTTGTTGAGGATGTGGGTGGCCCTCATCGCTTTCCGTGTGCTAAGATACATTACTTTGCACCTCTATGAGCTAAAGCCTAAACCACTTGCGGCTGGCCTGGACTCCAGATGAAGCAGATCGTCTCGGAGAGTCCTAGGATTCCCTTCTTTGTCCATTGCCCCCGATATTTCGACGTCATTAGCAAAAAGGAGAGACTGAGATATTTGAACAGGGAAGTCATTCATAAATAGTGGAAAGTAAAGTGGCTGAGATACTGGTCCTTGGGAAACTCCTGTTTTTGCACCCCTAGAGGCTTTCCGAATTCGGTATACTTCGGCTCAGAACTCTTGTCCCTCGGATAATCTGTAAACCACGGGATGTGTGGCTCGCCGTTGCCCACTTCTGCAAGTCCAGACAGCGTGGTGTAGTGTTGGATGCTGTTGGAAGCTGTCATCAATTCCAAAAGTATAACGTGAACCGGTTGATCGTTGTCCCATCTGGTGCCACAGTCATTCCAAGAGGTCATCAGGTTTGTGGCACGTGACCTCCCGGCTCCAAAGCCATTTCGGGCAGGATGGACGATGTTGTTTCCGTTCAGGTAGTACCAGGAAGTGTATGCAACAGGGCTTCCAACCCCCTGGATTGTATGGGAAGTAGCGCTGTTGGTCTTGTTTCCATTCGTTTTTAACCTCCTTCGTTGAAGATCGATGGAATGATAAGGCGCTTCCGTTCTTCGCGGAGTTGAACTACTTCCAACAAGGGCTTGGACGGACTGCACGTTGGTATACCCGACAACTCGGCTCAAAGTTGGTCTTATGATGTTGCTACCTGAAGACTCCCTCTATTCTGAGTGCTGAAAGTTTCGTAGGCACCTGTTACGACGGAA